ATATAGTAATGATTATAATCGTCAGAGTAATTAGGAGTAATTTGATGACATCATATTATTAAATTGTGTATAATTACTCCTTAAAACACCCTATGTTTTGGGCGTTGCTACATATGGTGCATGCTACAGTTAGCAAATTTCTAAGAGCGGAGACTGCTTTAACAAGAACATTTTTGGGCAGCGTGACTTCAGCACCCCTGGCTGAGAAGCACAGACCCATGTCTAACAACAGGGATCACAAACTCAAACACTGCAGCAACAATGCAGATGCATATACAATGCAAGCTGTTTGACATCGAGACAAAGAGACAGAGATGGAGGCGGTTACAAACAACGTGCAGGAGTGAAAGCGTAGACTGACTGTATGCATAATTATTAACAGGTGAGGGATAGTTATGTGCAGTCACGAACAATAAGTCACCTTAACTGCTTTAGCATGATGCTTGGGGGACCACACGAGCCTGCCTCCTTCGCTCGCATCCACGAGCGCACCGCCCCGTCGGCACCTCCCCAGCCAATGGGAGACCGCGCGCGAGGTGACTGGACGATCCATAAATGGCTTTTTGGGGAAAAGGTAGAGGGTTCTTTTCTCTCTATCTTTTCCTTTGAGTGGACTCTGGTATCCTATATTTTTGTTGGTTCTTTCGCAGCGCGAGTGTTTCCCCCCCTTGCACGGGACAGGGCTTGCAGGTCCTCCACACCCACGGGTTCGCTCCGTTTAGTTTTTGGCTCCGTTAGACTCACTACACCGGCACGTCGGTTCATTCATCCTCCCGCTGCCGCTCCTCCATCCGAGTCTTCTCGCCGACTTCACCGGCTTTTACACTTTGTCCGCCCGAGACTACCGTTACCGTCCGTAACACCAACAGCCTGACACAAGAATGGTCATGGTGAGTAGATATTGTAGAGTAGCCTACAGCCTTTACATCGTACAGATGTTTGTTCCGTTATATTCTGCAACCATTCGGGCTTTAATGTTGGTACCGCAGCAGGCAGGCAGGTAGCGCGTACACATTTGTTTTGCTTACACCAGACGTAGCCTATCGATTTACATACGATTTAAAAAGACTAAACCAGATCGCGTTCTTAGGCTACACCTGTACGGACAGGTGTGTGTGTGTGTGTGTGTGTGTGCATCCATTCTCATATCTTATTTAAACCCCAACAAATATGAGTTATCAACATAGGAGACAATTTTGTTTTTCGTCAAATTCTGTGCTTTTTAATTTTAAACGATGTAGTAGTATAGTATTCACAGACTGAATAATATCCTCTAGAATTCCTTAAAGATCATTATCATTGACAAAGGCTGTGATCAGCTCTGTGAGTATGCGTGTATGTGTGCGTTTTCTGTGTAAAGGAAAAGAGACGAGAATGAGATGGGCTGTACACATGTAAATGTGCGAAGGATTTTAACATGCACCCAGTAATGGATAATTTATATACACAGGGCTGCGCAGGCATCCTATTAGGCCTAGCATAACGCCGGAGGCTGCAATCACTCCCCCAGAGCTCTGCCCTGCCCGGCTCACTCAAGCACAGACCTCAGCAGCGATTGATTGCTTTGCTGGGATTCAAAAAGCCTTTTCTCTGCCAAACCGGGCTGAGGCTGGCGTGTGCCGGCGAGGGCTCAGAGCCAGCCGGAGAGCGAAGGTGTTAACACCGAGGGGAGGGGGAGGTGAGACCGAGGGGCTGACAGGCAAGCCAAGACGCCAATCACAGACTGTGAAAGGGAGGCGGGGGGGGGGGGCGCACGGGGCGGGCTCTGACCTTCCAGCGGAGCAGGCGACTGGGCGGGTGGCTGTGGGGAGGGGAGGGGAGGGAGCCTTGCTGCAGCCCAGCACTCTCTCATCCAGGCACACCATTCTCCTCTCAGCATCTGTGGAAGAAGGCGGATGCTTGCTCCGTGCGCCTCTAGTATGCTGCTCCCTGCTCGCCGCTAAGACTCCAGCAGAAATCTGGAAGAGAGGCATAGTGAGGAAAATAAGGAGACGGTATCAGAGGAGAGAAAGAGAAAGAGAGTAGGGGATTTTTCTTTGCTGAGGCGTTGCTGTAGCTGTTGTGTGAGGAAATAGAGAGAGGGAGAGAGAGAGAGAGAGAGAGAGAGAGAGAGACCACGGCTGGCGTCTCCCAAATGGAGTGGAATGGGTTTAAGATGGTAAGGAGAGAAGGCTGCAGGCAGCCTGCCACTATACTCCGCTGTACATTGTTAACCATTGTTTTCATTTCGGGCAGCCTACGGTGGCTCGAGCCGGTTGTAGAAATACTATCACTCACAGTCAGTACGTAAGACTCTTTCAGCGCAGTGATACCGTAAAACTCTCTGTTTGTGCAGAATGTTAAGTTCCTTCATACAGGGAAGAGGGATGCAGCAGGGGGTTAGACTGACGAGGTTTGTGGGCAGGATGAGAAACGGAGGGGGACAGATGGAGGGACGGAGCCAGTTATCATGCTCATAGAAGAGGTGTGGAGGCAGGAGTAGAGGTAAGCAGGGATGGGGAGAGGAGCGGAGGGAGGGAAGGGTTAAATCGGGGAACAGCACCCATTTTATCTTGAAGCCAGGGCTGTAGGTGTCCCCCCCCCCCCTTCTCCTGCCTTTGCACCACTCTGAGATATTTACCTGCGTATAGTGCTGCAGCAGAGAAACAGAATGACCATTATCGATGCTGAATGTACTGTGAGGTGGGAGGGGAAACTGGACTTTTGTGCATTTTGTATTCATGTATGCAAAGTAGTCCTTGTTAATTATATGAGTAGACATGTTATCCGTCATGCTGCTTGTGTGTGCACAGTGTGAGTTTGCGTTGTCCATAAGTTGTGCCAGAGCTGGAGAAAGATGGAGTAGGTGTGTTGGACGCACGCCTGGATTGCAATAGATTGTAATGCTGTGCGTGCTGCTAAGTTTTGAAACGCTCATGTGAGTGTGTGCGAATAGGACTGTGTATTCTCAATTTTGCGTTTCGCACAGGAGTGTCGACGTGAGAGAAATCATAATGACCTATAAGTTATCAGCTTCATGAGACTTTAACTTTGGATCCTTTTATCCATTCATCCAAGAGAGGTTGACTAACAAAACTAGCGGCCATATTTTGTCCTCTTGTCGTCTTCACCTGTCATATAAGACAGAGTTTAATTTAATTGCCGATACTGCGCCACCACTATAGAGTCAATACAATTATTTTTGCATTCTCAATGCATCCTTCTGTTTTCAAAATCTTGCCATCCACAGAGTGGACTGGCTCACTTGTGTGTTTGCACAAAGAACAGTGGACATTATTCATGCTGTCGGCAAGTAAATGTTTGATTGTTTGCGCGTTGGCTTCTTTCCATTAGATGCAATCAAAATGCTAATTGAAACGAAGGCGACTCCCCTGTTTGGTGACTCGGCTAGTGACGCTCGCTGGTGTGCCGTCGTCTCCCTAGGCTAGCAGCCTTGTGTACGTGCATAGATGGAGGGGCCTATAGCAGGAACACATGACTGACAATGTGAAAAGGCGGGCGTGAACGCAGAGAAAGAGTGTTCATTGTTTATACCGTATACACAGATTGTGGTGGTAGTATTGTGTAGAGAGGATGGAGGGAATGGACACAAAGGGAGAATGAGAAGGAGAAGGAGTGGGGGAAAAAAGTAAAAAGTCCATCAGTATTAGATTGTGTATGAGATTGCACCATAAAACCTCCTGATGGGAGCCAGTGGGGGACAGGCTATCATTCCTCACACACACACACACACACACACACACACACACACACAGAGATACACACAAACATAGAGTGGCTCTAAGACCCTCAGGCAGAACACCATGAGCTCCAAGGTTACACATCAATGCTAATGAGGGGTGTGTGAGGAATTTATTAGCGACAGTGCACCGAGCGAGTGTGTGTAGTGATTTACAGTACATGTAATTGGAGATCAGAGAAACACCAGATAAGGATAGGTGCTTGGATGTGCATTCCTGGGGTGATTATAGGTCTGAGGGACAATGAAGACGATTCGCGTGAGAAACGATGGATGACGAGCGACCGAATATATATTGAAAGTAACAGGACAATAAAAGAAATGCTACTTTATCAGTTTAATTACGTGATAGCCTGTGATGGGTTGTGTATGTCTGTGTTATCGGTTCTGTGAGTTTGCGTGTGAGTGAGTGAGTGTGTGTGTGTGTGTGTGTGTGCATCCGACTGACGTGTGTCCAGATGCAGAGTGACATGGTTAACTGGAGCCTGATTAAACACCAAGCAAATAGAGTCCCAGAGAGAGAGGAGGAGGAAGTGGTTCTGACACGGGACCGATTGGCTCGTAATCATCCCTCCTGTGTTCCGATGCTCAAACATTACCTCTTTAGAATATTTCTGTAGGTGGGTGTGTCACCACGTATGTAGACGAACAGGCCTTTAACTGTTTTGGATGATTCTAGTAGAAATATAAATTCCTAGTGTTAGCGTGACAGAGGAATTTAAGCTAAACCTGACACTAAGTTGCTCTTTTCTTCTTGTTTCTCACTCACATTAATCTTATAACATTTAGCTTCTGTTAAATAAATTGCTCAAAACACTGTAATTCCTTCACCATTCGCCGTCTCTCGCGACGAACTAACAGCTAACGAACGGAGACAGACCACCCTGACTAGCACTCTGTTGAGATCTTCATCACAGAAAAATAAAATCGAAGCATTTTGTTTTTACTTCCTTCACGCTGTTCTCTCGGGCCCAGTGCGCTTATTTGACTGTAGAAGGAGTTTTCTAAATGGTTTAATGGCTCATTTGATGTGTGGTTTTACTGAGCAGCAGAGAAAAAAAGATCTATTGTGATGGAGGTTAAAAATGCATGTTGTGGGTTGACTTGCTGCTTGTGGCTGGTCGTGCATAGTTCCACGGCGTGTAGTGTAAGAATGTCTTAAAATGGACTTTCATGAAATAGACTTTGTCGAGGGAAAAGAGGTAAACAGTCGCTAAAGTGACGGCCTTTAGCATTCTTATGCTTCGTGTTACGTGTGTATAGTCGGGGTTGTGCTGCCATTAATGTTTGATCAGTTTTTTTACATTCAGAGTTTGCACTGCACCCTAACGTCCATAATAATAAATGGTAAAATGGTCACATTGTGTGTTTGTGTAGATGTATGTAGTTGTTAATTAATATGCTTGTGGGAAGACATACATTACATGTTTAGTGTGTGTGTGTGTGTGTGTGTGTGTGTGTGTGTGTGCATCATACTGTACATGTCCCCTCTAGCTTTAGGTAAATTAAGATTTGATTTGTGTGTAAATAGACTAAAAATCGTAGCGGACATTGCTTATTTTGAGCGAGTGCATTATGCAGTCTCAGTATTTTGGTGGTACAATGTCTGTATGAATATCGCAAAAATATCTTATTGTCTTTAAATGTCTTTTCCACTTTCCTTTAAACAAAAGCTCGATGGAAGCAGTTAATGAGCCAAAAGCCTGTTTGAATAAGAAGCTGCTGTAACAATCTCTGTCCCAATTAGCACGCTTTGGTTTTTAAATATTCCTTTTGTGTGAAGCCTAAACACACATGAAGACTCACAAAACGGTCCCGTTGAAAATTTAATAGGCTTCCGCAGCGATTTCCTTCATTTATTTAAAATGTGTCTTTTTTCCCTCGCTTTTCAGAAAGCTGGAAATCTGAGAGGCATGGCAAGGCATTCTGCTGTGAGGGGAGCAGCATTCACAAATACTAGACCTAATTCCTTTGGCAGCCGCTCAAACTGCTACAGACAGACACATAATCAGCTGGGGAGTGTTAGCGCCTCAGCCCACTAGCAAACACAGGACCGAGCCCTTGTTGTGCATCGCTGCTTTTCAGAAAAAAATATCCCGACGGAAAATACAGTGGGAGGAAAGAGGTATTCATGTGTATATAGCTCTTTGT